GGTGAGGAATGGCGCGCTGAAATTCCAACCAAGTTTCGTTAACGATGCGCCACGATGGGGCGTCCGACGCGCAAAGAGCGCGAAGTCATTCGAACAATCTCCCTTTACTGTTATCCTTTACGTTCTCCGCATCCGCGCGCGTTCTCGAGAGACGTGATTTCACGATGCCGCATTTTACGACTCATGCAACCGAATTATTGTCTTGTGAACGCGTTATCCGACAAAATAATAAATGATACATCGCTTGCCGCCGCGTACGAATTTTGCGATACGCTCTGTTCAACGAAGCGTGAAGGATAGGACAAGGCGAATAAGACACCGTCGCGTTATCGTAATAAAAATAATAAATACAGCGCCATAAAAATGTTTCTCGGATGCGTTTTCTTCGCGAGATAAAAAGTTTGAGTTTTCATACTCTTGTACCACCTTTGTAACACACATACGTACGCACGTACACACATATACAAATTGCGCTTGTGCGTGTGCTCCGGACAATGTGCAAGCGAGTCACGCAATGGTCGGCCGCACGCGTAACGAGGTAAAGAAAGGGAACGTTTAATTAAAAAATTCCAGGAACAAATTGATTCGTTTCAGTACGGTACTCTCGTAGTTAGACGGAACTATTCGATGCCGCCATCTTTCTAGCAACGTCGATTGAATAGTTATGAACCCCACGCTAAAAACTGTCGTATCGCTAAATTATCAGTATGCAACTTTCGAGCGCGCAGTTGAAAGCACAATAGGACCCGGAACGTCTGCACGAGCCCCTTTTTCTGTTCCGGTAAACTCGCTGGAGGATACGATGTATGCCAATATTGCGCACGCGATAAAGGATATTGCATTTCACCGTTTATGAAATAAGCGAGAGGGGAAAAAAATGTAGATTCAACCTTCAATTGTTCAATTTCTCTCGGCGCTTCCTCGTTGTAACGAGAAAGATCTGCTGTATGTGAAATCGAAGCGAAACGCATCCGACGAGCGCGAAAAGTAGCGAAGCCACGCGTAGGTTTTAGCATAGTATAACTAGTAGGTCCACTCTCTGTCGGCCCCTTTGATCTTTGCGGTCCCGATCGCGTGGTATTTCGCGATACACCCAGGGCAGGATTTAGAGACGTGTGTGTGTGTGTGTATACGTACTCGTCAAAGCCACACTACCACACATACAACTTTTCTCCCATTGGTCTGCTCAGACCAATGTCGGATGCGCAGAAGGGATCGACGCAAAACGAAACAAATAGCGATACTATGGTAGTAGGTCCACTCCGTCATTTGTTTCGTTTCGCGTCGATCCCTTCTGCGTATCCGACATTTTGTTGGTCCAGCGGATGAGAGAAAAATTATACAGGGTGTTATGTAATACCTGCCTCACCTCTTATTGGCGGATACAGCGGACTAGACCGAGTCGAAAAGTCCCGTACCATTTTGCAATTTTCGCAATGGTTAACGAGTTATTAATTATTGAAAATCGCTGTCTTAGCCCGGCCTACCGTCCAATTCGAACGCGCTGCAAGATGCGGCCGTCCCGCAATCGGCGTTGCTAGGCGCGCGGGGAGTTGTTTATCATACGTAGCCCTCGCCGTGTGTCAATTCCCCGCGCGCCTAGCAACGCCGATCGCGGGACGGCCGCATCTCACCGCGAGCTGGAATTGGGCGGTAGGCCGGGCTAAGACAGCGATTTTTAATAATTGATAACTCGTTAACCATTGGGAAAATAACAAAATGGTAAAGGACTTTTCGACTCAGTCTAGTCCGCTCTATCCGCCAATAAGAGGTGAGGCGGGTATTACATAACACCTTGTACTATATGAGATAGTGTAGTTTGATAAGTACACACGCATACGTACGTATGTACGTGCATACACCCTTGGGAAGATTTACTTTAGAAAACCTAAAAATTTTACTTCAGTAGAATAAGGGATATGAAAAGTAAATTTGAACACTTTAAACTTTTATTAAGGTAAACTTACAACTTACTTTAAGAATTTAAAAGAAAACTTTAAGAATTGGTGAAAAGTATGAGACATAATTTATAATACCGCGTGCGGTTTTCTTCTGAAAAGACACTGCTACGCCGCGCGGCCCTCTAGCGAGAACTATCTGAAAATTACCTTAAGTGTCCAAAATTACTCTAAAATTTCTTAAGTAAACTTTTAACCTCCTTAGTACCTAAACTCGCAGATTTGAAAGATTACTTTTAAAAACTTTAATTTCATTTCAAGTAAACTTTCCCAAGGGTACACACATACACTGTTGGATTTGGATCAAAGACACAGCGGAATGCCACGTGATCGGGATCGCAAAGATCAAAGGGGCCGACAGAGAGTGGCCTACTAGTTATACTGTGGTATTATCCTTGCGTAAAAACTGAAAAATAATAACAGGCCCGCCAATATGCAGACACGCGGAATTCGCTTGTACGCGACGTCACGGTCCGCAGTTCGTGTACGAGGATATGTGAACGCCGGCTACGTATGTACATGTTATTCTCACGCACAAAGCTGCAAATTCGACGCGCGGTTTACGTGCGCGTCGGGCGCTAGAGATAAATGAAATTCATAAGACGGGATGGTATCCTTGAGACGGGACTTTCCCGTGCCGGATGGGCGATAGTTTCGCGCAAGACGAAGCGAGAGGGGAAACCCCGACGGGGTTAGTGTGGGGGTCAGGGGGGCTCGTGCAACAAGTGACGTTATTAGGTTGGCGCTCGAGGGTTGCAAGGGAGGGAACGGAGCGAATCATAATGCATAACTCTTGCCCGTCCTTGTCTTACTACTTGCGCGCGCGCGGTCGCACGGCCATTCAACTTCTGCGGAATTGCTCGTGCCAGCTTAAACTGAATCACCCCCTCTCCCCCAAGGACCGAAAATTAGGGAATATTCAATGAACCAGATGCCACGATCACATTTCTGACTTGATGATGAAAATGACAAAATTGTATTTTGACGTGGACAAAAGTGATATTAAAGCGCCGAAACTTCGTCGATTCAAGTTTGCCGTGGATATGACTGGAGAGCCATACGCGCGATTTAATTTTTAACACTTGGCTTTCAACACTGTCGAGAATCGAAAGCCTTCACCGGTCAGTAAAACTGCAGAAATCCCTTTGCGAAAACCGATTCGAAGTACCTTGGTTTAGGAATTGAATGGGGGGGAATACAAATGGCGGAGTCCCTCAGGTTTTCGATAAGAATCCACAATTCCCATAGTCGCGTATCGCCCGTCTTAATCTTCCTGATAAGCACGGGTTATGATACCCACCCGTGAACTTCAAAAGCTCGTTTGTGAGCTCAGATCGGTGCCAAGTTACGTTGAGCTCATTCGTCCTTGTCGTCCGATAATCGGTCGGTCCGAAGACGTCCCCCGCCCTAGAAAACTAAATTTCCATTCCGTTTCTCGGCGGTGGTGAACCGCGAAAAGAGACCACGTCGCCGTAACGGAGAAGACAAAGAGGCTTTATTATACGGGGAGAGCGATGGAAATTGAGAACGGCGAGGGCGGAGATTGGCAAGGATGCCGGTTGTTCCCCTTGGCGTCGAGCGGCAAAGACGACTACCTTATATCCGCAGAACTCGGATTATTACCGCTCGAGACGATTATCCTCCTTTCTTTTTCGTTGATAACAAGTTGAAATGCGTTTATCCGTTGATCATGCGTCACCGTTTCATTGTCTATGCGACGTTGTTGCGGGCGCGACATAAGTTTGCTTTGACCGCAATTTAATTCGCCCTTCGGTCTTTGAAAGATACTTTCTTAAAGGAAGGTAGGATCCGTTAAAGTGAGATTGAAGTTAATATTTGATGTTTGAGAGCATTTTTACTCCCCCTATTTCTTCTCATTCTTTCGTGACTTTAAAGATTTAGCGTCAGCGGCGATAGTGATTGAAGTATAACCCATCCAAACAGTTGAGCGATGAAAGTATAGGTATGAAATCTATAACTTGCCGATACATCTAATGTTAAGTATCATAAAAATTCGATCTCGTCTGGGCGTACAAAGGAAGCTTCTCAAAGCTGGAAGGAATCTTGAAGGTACCGCATGATCGAAGAGTATTCTACACGTGTTACACGCGGACGCAGCAGCGAGAATGGAAAAAGGGAGCGGCGGAAAGGAGGAGGCAAAAAACAAAAAAGAAAGGGGGGGGAAAAGGGAAACCCAATGGACGACGGGGACCACCGTCGTGTCGTCAAGCCGGTCGGTCCTTTTTCCGCCTCGCGGCCCCCTCTGTCTCTCGGCACTTGATTTCCGTCTTTCCCATTTTCCTCTTTCGCTCCGTATCTCCCGGGTACCCCGCTCGTCCCACCCCCGTCTTCGCCCCCCAAGTCCGCCATTTTTGTTTGTATTTCGTGGTGATCGTGGACCGGAAACGGACGTCCGCGCCGTGAAAAATGGCCGCCGTTGCGCTTCCGGTACGGGAACGTTCTCTCCTCCTCCCCCGTCCTCCCGCGCCGTTATTTCCCCCCTCGCGGTTCCCTGCCCTGAATTCTACCGCTGACGCCCTCGTCCCAGGGCGAAACGCGCTTCATCCGACCGACCCCCACGGCGCGTTCTACCTTTCTGCTCTTTACCACTGTCCTGTCCGACTTTGGCCATCGACCCGCGTCCGAACCGTGACCATTTGACGCAACGCGCTACATGTGTTTCTGACGTCGCGCAAACCAAGCGTTTTATCATAGTTCCGTGAGCCGTCCAGTCGCATTTGATTGTAGTAATTGTCACTCGACACTTCCGCGGACCGCTCCTGTTATCGCGCGCCAGGAGAATTCCGCGTACGTTGCGATCGTCGTTACGCAATTGAACGAACAACAAAGCGATTGCAATCGAAAGTAGAATTCCGTTTGTTTCGTAAAACACGTACGTAATATTAGTGCCGTTAGAACTTTGTTTAACTTCTCTCTAATTTCTTCTCTTTTCGCGCTATTCAATTACCGATCGACAGACACTTTGGATTAAGAGTTTATCTCTCTCTCTAATTTCTTCTTTCTGCGCATACTCTGTTTCAGGGAAGTTTCAAGAATGTGTTGAGCTGACTCTATCCGGATTTACTTAGGGTTTTGGGAATGGATTCGACATTATTGCTGCTCCTACTGACCGGTAAGTTTGTAAAATACTGTGCTTCTCGGCGGGCAATTTGGAAGAAGTGACGGCGTTCTGTTGGCTCGACTGTTGGAGTCGTTAACGTAGGGTCTGCGATTGTAGATGGACTTTCATGCGGAGATTATATCTCAAAGTCCCGGCAAAACTTCGGTAGCAAGTCCCACTTATTACAAACTTCGGTCCGGCAACACTCTCCCCTTTGCAACAATGAGTTATTCCGCAATGTTGAGGGAATAAAACGGTCCGCAAACTGCTACCAGAAATTTCTCTCGGTCTTACTTTACAGTTAATAAAACCGTCTCGTATTCGTGTAAAGAAAATGTCTGCGGAAGTAGCGTCGCAGTATCAATAAACACGCGAAGGCGAGCTCGTTCATTCGTTCAATAATCGTTTCATGAATTGTTCAACGAACTGGTCAATTGTGTCCGGACTGTTTCTTACGCTGCGTCCAGTAATAGATAGATAGGATAGAAGTGCGATACTTTTATGTCACATTGCGGGCAAAAATGGAAACTTGGTATTACTTTTTTCCCGAAGTATTCAAAACTACATTTTTCGGTAGATACAATATCGATACGAGCGGTAGCGACACAAAACCTGGCGATATCACATCTTCGGACGAGTCTCCGAACGGTTCTACGAATTGAGTCACCGCCGTTTCAACTCTCGAGGCGCACGGGTTCTGCAAGGGACAGAATAAAATTCGCAGCCTCCATCGAGGCGCGAACGTTTGGGGAAAGTGACTTCGATTTGACGCTTCGTGAACTTGCAGAATAACCCGGCCCTTGCCTGGGGCCGCGGCCGTGAAGAGAAAGACGGAAAACGCGTCGATTCGCGGCGGGGCATCTACGTGCGCGCACCACGTAGTCGACGGTCGATGACCACGTGGAAGGTAGAAGGCGAGGACGAATGCGAGAGCGGGAGCGGGAAAAACAGAGTGGAGGAAAAAAGAAAGGAGTACGTTTGGTTTGGCAGTGGGCGGTGGGCGTCGAACTCGGGACATCGCGCGCGGATGACGAGTAATCGATCACGAGCACTCTGCCAACACTACGTGGCGAAGAGCACGGCGGTTCTCATTCGGCATCGAGTGGAGAAATCACCTCTGCCACGATAAAGCGTCGATCCGCCGCTCTCGAAAGTGTAGCGCGGAGGAGAAGGCCGCGTAGGATGAAACGCGACGAGCGCGACGGGGTGGGATCCAGGCGATTAGTCTGACACCTCGGAAAAACGCGTTGGCGATATCGCCGGAGTGACTTGCCACGTACCGCGCGCGAGGTAAGTCCTCCGGCGCTGATAATAGGAGATGCGTCGATCTCCGACACGTCGGGAATTAGTTTCGAATGAAATTCGATACCTGTCGGCAGCGTCGACGGGAGAGCTCGCCGAGGAGGGAGCCGGCCATCGGAAGCTGTCGCGCAAATCCCCGAGCATAGCTGAGAGCCATGCGCCGGAGATATTTGCGGACGAGTTCGTAATGCTTTCACGAAAAATACAGAAACCCCCGGCTGGCAACCCGTCCCCCCTCGCACCCGGTTACCCCGGCCGTCCCTGTATCGATTTCTGTCCGATGGAGTATCGCGATACTCGCCCTCTCACCACCTCTCGCGCTCCTCTCCATCCCCGATCGCCTCTCTTTGTGACTCGTCCTCTTCGTCCCCCGCCCCGCCGGTCCTCCCGCGGCCCCCTCGCCTCCATCCCTCACTCGCTTCCTCCCGCGCGTCCGCGTGTCCCTGTATCGCGATTTTCAATACCGTGCCCGCACGTGAAACGAAGGTAGACGTCCGGGCGGAGATAGATCATTACTCTGACGAGTTTCTTTCCCCGATCTTACGCGATCTAATAAGGAGCTCCTGGGAAACGCGGTCCCGTAATAGAAATTCGCAGCGAATGAAAAGCGAGATATTTAATACCGGCGGCGTAGAAAAATAGTTTTAAGTCGAGTTGGCGACGCAAAGCGCTTAATTCAGAACATTTTCATTTGAAAGATGAGATACGTGAAAGTCTGGTGTGTTGGTAATCTCACGCAAACGCGAGTTAATCTCGTGCGATCGTTACGGAATAGCTACGCACTGAAATTATAATGTTAAACGGACGCAGCACGACTAAAATTTAGAGACAGAGGGAGAGAGAGAGAGAGAGAGAAAGAGATTCGCGTAAAAGTACGCAACAACACACGCATGTAAATGTGGAGAACTCTCCCCGCACACAGCTACTCATTTATCACTGCATCCGGAATGGCGCGAATCGTTCGCCGGTTGGATGGAATTATTTATCTCCAAATGAAGGCTACGTTCGGCGAGCCGGGCAGGATGGATAGGCGGCGTGACATGGATGTCCTGATTTTTGTTTTATCGTTGAAAGATACAACGGTCGCTATAACACCCAACGGCTAACACGCCCGCTCGGGGTCATCGACGATCGATGACCGACCGATATTCCGTCGTAATGGATCAAATAAATGGTGATGAATAACAACATGGTTTTGCTTTAGATTGACGTAAAAATGTGTAATACTCTTTTACCTCTCTTTTTTTTCAAACGTAGAGAGGCGACTGTTATTGACGGCGATGTATATCAACGCAAATCAAATACGGAGGTGGATAAAGGTTGCGAATGTAGTGACGGGTTACGCAATGATTTTATAAAAACGTGTATATCGAGGGCGCAAGCTTTTTTTTTTCGCGAGAAAGGAATGTAATTTTTTTTACCAAGTCTTTGGAGAAATTAATTAATAACGTCAGCGCGACGTTATTATATCCCGCCGGTGGCCGGAGATCGAGTGTATTTTTTGACACCGCGCAGTTTACGCGCCACTGTAACGGGATTGTGCGATCTATCCCGCGTGTGCAACGATAACTTTATCGCGGCAGTTTATTCTATCGGCACACGAAAATTGTGCCAATGAATATTCCCGACAAAGGGCTCTTATCCGTACGTAGCTCTAATACTTTCGTTTCTATTATCCTCCGGAATCACCTCTCTCTCTCTCTCTCTCTCCCTCTCTTTCGCGTCCATCCCTTTTTCTTCATTTCGGAACACGCGCGCTACGCGGGCCCTCGTTACAAAACGTTGAAGATTAAATTTATCACGAATGTAGAAACCTGATGGAAGACACGGCGGATTACCGTCGTGAATATTACATTAAAACCATTATGCGAAGTGGGAGGCGGGGGGGGGGGGGAAGAGGAGGACGGGCGCTCTCGTTTCTCTCTGGTGCGTACCAATGTTTTTGATTTGCGATTTATATCGCTGCCGTCGCGCGAATTGAAAAATCGTACCTTGGTGTGAAATGCACGCTTCTCTGTGCTTCGCTCGAAAAAAAAAAAATGGAGAAATAACACGTCAAATGGTTTCGACGCATCTAGTTACGTCGTAAAAGCGGACGGAGCGGGTTGCATTTTGACCATTCGATTTCGACAAAATCGATTTTGGAACGGCAACGGTCGCGCCATCGGCCACCGTGCCACATACCGCACTTGTGACGTCCGGGATTTTAGCGAACCGTGGGGACCGCACAGGGCGCGTTGCCAGGGGCGCTAAAATATATGCTTAATATTTACTCCAGACCGCACGGCGAAACGTATGGCGGGCTGGCATAACAAATTTCATTATTAAGGACACTGACGACCGAGCGGCATTTTTGGTAGGGACTTTGGCTGCGAATATTGGTTACGGCGATCGGAAACATAGGGCGGACAACGCCAACGCGTACGGCTGTTAAATTTATGTTTATCTTTGCGCAGTCCCGCGGAGTAGTTTATAATCGTATTTGCTCGAAAATATATAAAGGTATAACAGACATACCCGGTTTCAATCATTATATAATCATGAGTTAAAGCGATTATTTATTAAAGGTGGTACAGTGCGGTAGTAATTTATTCGCTTCCCTTTTGGTATCTTCGAATGACACAAAGAGATTGAATTATCTACCAATATTCTTTGTGGCCGGTCATTTATTGATACGTCTCTGTATTTTACTCCCGGTCATTCCGAATTCGCGCGAACTGAAAAGCGAATTCCTATTTGATCGTGGAAATCGTTATCAGAGATAATGCCACCAATGAGATCCGATGGCGTATGATAATCGAATGGCGGAATTGACGAGAGCCAGGGAAATGGAATTTTGACACGTGTAAATATTACTACAGAAGTACCAATATATATTTTCGATCACTCAATTTGTAAGGTGCGCCGCTGTTTGTGCACAAAAATCAAGAACGGTTGCACAATGTTCTTATTATGCGCGACTAATTAAATAACAGATTGTAATAATGGCATCGATATTAACGGAAATAATAATACAAGTGTAAAAATAAAACATGATCGCGTTGATGAAATGCATTTATTTGAATGCGGCGCGTGTCAATTGTTTCGCAATTGTTCTTGCTGCAGTTGCAATTTACAGTTTGACATCGTGTTACGGTGGTTTACGTACTTATTTTTAACACAAAGATTGCACTCTGTTCCTGCATCTATTTCTTTTCCCTTATATGTTTAATAAAATTATGTATATGCGTTAAATGTACACCTTAAGGGGATCCTTCAGCCATCTTTTTTACCGACACAGTCAAATATAGTTTTTGCGCTTGTAATTCTTCTTATTAGCTTTTATGCACCGCAGAGGGAGAACCAAAAAAAAGCTTTTATGCACTAAATAATAGGGGTAGTTGATAAGTTGCGGACCGCATAGCAGAACATTTTCATACTTAAAACACTCAGTTCAGAAGTCTAATAAAAAAGATATCGGCATTTTTAATTCCAAGTTCTATTCGGTCCGAGAAATTTATAGCCAATCAATTTGCAACTTTTACGAAAAAGCAGCAATTTTATTAGCTGCACATTGCTCAGACCGAGATGTTGGATCGAATTCTAGCATCGTCGACACCATGGCTTTACTGACAATCTGACAGATGTTTGGCAGCGACCACTCTCGAAAAAGCCTGCTGCTCTTTTTCTCTTCTTCTAAACTTGGATTTCTGAACTTGCGTTTATTGGAA